TCTGGCAGTTAGTTTGGACAAACTACGCGGCTCGACCGGTCACCTCAACTGGTCATCCAGACCAGTCCTCCTGACTAGTCATCCCACCACCCAGTGGTCAACAGACCTTCCCACCACTTGGTGGTCGACGGACCTTCCCACCTCTCAATGGTCGACTCGCCTTCCCACCACTCAATAGTCGGCGGACCATCCCACCTCCAAGTGGTCGACTCCTCTTCCCACCCCTCAGTGGTCGACGAACCTTCTCACCTCTCAGTGGTCGGCTGGTCATCCCACCACCCAGTGGTCAACAGACCTTCCCACCACTCGGTGGTCAACGGACCTTCCCACCTCTCAATGGTTGATTCGCCTTCCCACCACTCGGTAGTCGACAGACTTCCCACCCCTCAGTGGTCGTCACGCATGGAGTAGTAATCAGATCATAGTGAAACAAATGCATATAACTACCGGAGTAAAGAACCTGGCAATATCAGATAACGGGGAATCTAAAAGATAACGGGGAGTTACGGCTGAAGGGTTTAGTGTAGAGTCTAGGGGTTATAGGAGAGAAGTCTAGTCAGTATAAAGTCTAGGACAGAGTCTAGGAGACAGCAGGGTATATAGCATGATCGTCAGGAAGTGGTCAAATGGAGTATGGGATATCATAATCTGAGAACAGGAGACGTTCTCAGAAATATTTGGTAGATGAGCATACTGCTGAGAACGGGAGACGTTCTTAGAAATATTTGGCGGATGAGCATACTGGTTAAGAACGGGCGAGTCTCAAACATATTTGGCGGATGAGCATACTGGCTAAGAACGGGAGACGTTCTCAACAATATTTGGCGGATGAGCATACTGGCTAAGAACGGGAGACATTCTCAACAATATTTGGCGGATGAGCATACTGGCTGAGAACGGGAGACGTTCTCAGAAATATTTGGCGAATGAGCATACTAGCTAAGAACGGGCGACGTTCTTAGAAATATTTGGCGGATGCGCATACTGATTGAGAACAGGAGACGTTCTCAACAATATTTGGCGGATGAGATACTGGCTGAGAACGGGAGACGTTCTCAAAAGCCAATGACGGAGTGGCATACTGACAGAGAACGGGTGACGTTCTCAAAAAGCATTCGGCGATTGGGCATAACTGGTAGAGAATGGGCGACGTTCTCAAAACTCTTTTGGGCGTATTGACTAAGAACGGGAGACGTTCTCAAAAATCTTTGGAGGTTGGGCATACTAGCTGAGAACGGGAGATGTTCTCAAAAAAAATCTTTGGCAGATGGGCATACTAGCTGAGAATGGGAGACGTTCTCAAAAATATTTGGCGAACGGGCATACTTGTTGCGAATGGGCAACGTTCTCAAAAATTGTTGGCGGATGGGAGTATGGACATACCGACTAAGTACGAGCGATGTTCTCAAAATATTTGTTAGATGGACATATTGGATGAATGAGGTGAACTTGAGAACTAGATACGTTCTCAAACATATTTGGCGGATGGGCATACTAGATGGATGGAATTGAACTGGATAAAGCTGGAAATAACATACACAAAACAAAGGAGCATAAAAGGAACAGGAAGGCAAAACAAGCAGGATAGAGATTGCCATTACAAAATCTAGTTGTACAAACAAAAAAAAAAATTTGCTACATATCAGGATCACAACTGGAAGCATTCCCTTGCTCGGCCCCATCCTGGCAACCACTATCATCAGCTCTTGGCCTTATATTATCCAACTGTCCAAAAGATACGTCAACATTAGAAAGATCAGCTAGCATCTGAAGATCGACGGTCGTGTCCAGATAATCATGATCTAGAAGAATCTCTCACTGATCACTCAAGCACTGCGATAGTCCAGGACCTGGAAAAAGAACGGTCAGGAATAAGTTGTGACCTAGACAGATGAATAAATTACACCGGGCATAGTAGCAAAAAAAAAAAAAAAAAAAAAAAGAGAGAGAGAGGGGCAGAAAAACCACCTTCAAAAAAAAAACAAGAGAGAGAATATAATGGATGTTATGTTTACAGCAGTCCAACCGTAAAAATGGCTAGGTCAGTTGCAGGGACCGACCGACCAGCGACCAGCCAGGAGGGCTGACTGGTCGGTCACGGCGACCAACCGACCAGCCAGGAGGGCTGACCGGCCGTCTTTGCGGTCACCCAAAAAAAAAAAAAAAAAAAAAAAAAAAAAGATGCAGACAGCAAGCCAGTAACAACAAAAGGAAAAGCAAGCAAACTCACCTGTAAGCAGTGGCAGTCTAAGACGTTCAGCAGAAAAACAAAATGAAAGGAGAGAGCAAAACCAAGAAGAAGAGTGTACAGAGAGAGAAAGGAGAGAAATAGAGTAGAGAGAGAAAGCAAAGAGAGAAATGAAGAGACGGAAGGGGTATCTATAAATAAAAATAAAAAAAAAAAGTTATTGAATCAAGGGAAGCAAGAAAAATGATGAGAAGCAAAAAGAAGAAGGAAGACAAGTCGTGACTCAAGAACGAGTAATGTTACTCACAACTCGTGAGCCGAAGAAAAGGGAAAACCAACAGATGCGTGCATTCATGGGTTCAACGTAGCTTGTCCAGAAGCAAACAGACATTTCAATTCTATACTGGAAAATTAAAGAAAAAAAAAAAAAAAAAAAAAAAAAAGTTGGAAACCAGAAATGAAGTAAAGCAAACGAGCAAAATAAAAACTTACCCACAGCTGTGATTATGGAACGACGACTGAGAGGAGAAGTCAAAGCAACAGAAGGAGGGATTAAGAAAGAAAAAGTAGAAAGAGACAGTAATAAGAGCATCCACATCAATTGGGAAGAATGAGGGGATAATGTAAGAGTGATTAGGAAAGAGAATGTGGGAGGGGAGAGAAAAAAAGAAAAAAAGAAAAAAAAATAATAGAAAACTGATTTTTTTTAAAAAAAAATAAATAAATAAAGCTTTGTCAGGCGCGCTGACAGCGCTGTCAGCGCGCCTGACGCGCCACACGGGCGCGTGTAGTGCACGCGCCCGTGTGGCACTTAGCTGTGCGCAAACGCTCACAGCATGTGTTGTTGTTTTTTTTTTTTTTTTTTCTGACATTATTTTGTGTTTTGCAGGACAATTATCTCCTCAAATAATTCCACTCCACATTTGCTATTAACCCCACCCAACATAATTGTTATGACATTATCCCCATATTATCCACTAGTGTGGATGCTCTAAGAGGAATGAAGAAGGTGAAAGGCTATTTAAAAAGAAAAGAAAAGAATAAGAGGATACACCAGAGAAACCTCTCCGGCGTCAACTTTTGGTGATTTCTAATACCTGACATGCAAAGACATGGTTTAAGGAAATAATAGACTAATATAGGTCTTTGACTTTTCCTTGTCTAGCATCAATCTCCCCTTTTGAAAAATGGCCATATGGACATGTACATGCAGTAATATGTGTAGTGAGTAAACCCATATGTATATATACATCAGCAAGGGCTCAAAAAAAAAATTAAATAAAAAAATGATAAACAAATAAACAAAGCTGACATTATACGAAGAAGCCAGAAGCAACAGGCATGCGAACCTTTTAAACATACCCTTTTCATATTATTATTATTATTATTATTATTATTATTATTATTATTATTATTGTTGTTGTTGTTGTTGTTATTGTTGTTATTGTTGTTGTTATTATTATTATTATTATTGTTATTATTGTTATTGTTGTTATTGTTATTATTGTTATTATTGTTATTATTGTTATTATTATTATTATTATTATTATTATTATTATTATTATTAGTAGTAACAGATCAGCGAATATCTCGAGATACTTTCCTAAGATATCGACTTTGCGAAATCTTAAGAAAGTGGGAGACTGGATGATGGATATATAACATACTAGGCCTGGGCTATATGGACCGGCCCAAGAAAAGCAACTGGATTTTGGAGGCCCAAGAAGAGCGTACAGGACAAAACAACCCAAGAGTTTATCAAAGGATTAGGCCTGTTATTTCCAATATAATTAGAATTGGACTCATTATTTCTAGTATAATAGAATTAGGTCTTATTATGTAACTAAGACTCTCAATATGAGGCAGTGTAGAATTCTTACTCTTTGTAGGGCTCTAGGCCCAAAATATGTATAAATAGACCTCTCAAACAGAGGAGAGGGGACAACTTTCTCTATTCATGAGCAATACTCTTCAATACAAAGTTCCTATATTTTCTCCATATATTTCTCCTATATTTTTCCCATATTCTCATTATTCTAACGGTAGTGTTGGCCTGCCGTTGACTGTCCAAAAGTCATAAAATCAACACATTATTTACAAAACACCATGAAAGGATGCCTGCTAAGTCATCCTCCAGAAGGCCCAGAACTTCGTCCCGTGAGCAGCCAGGATATGAATGCCGTTAGTGAGCTGGGCAAGATCTGCAAGGGAGTCTGCCACTTGGTTCTGTTCACGGTTAATTGCAACTACACACCACACCTCAAAGAAACACAGTTTTTTCTTGCAGGCTTCTAATATATTGTGGGCAGCAATGAATAATGGAGATCTGGAATCATTGATGTAGCTGACGATATATATCACTGGCATCGCTTTCAATAGTCACCTTCCTAAAACCCATGAATGCGGCAAGTTGGATGCCCTTTAATAGCGCCCAGGCTTCAGCTTCTAGCGGAGAGTAATTTCCTATGCCATACATGAAACCTTGTTTCAACTGCCAGTGCTATCCCGAATTACCCTGCTACAGCTTGCTCTATAAGAGTTGAGGCTGACTGAACCATCAACATTGACTTTAACATGATGTTTGGTTATGCATGATCATATAATGGGAATAATGATTTTAAAAATACAAAAATAAAAAATTAAAGACAATTGATCATAATATAATGACATCGAAAGCATCAATATGATAACAAATTTATAATAAAAATCTAAAAACACTAATCCAAACTTAAAAATTAAATTATAGATAAAACATAACCATTTTTAATTAAGAAATAAACTTTTTAATTGAAGGGATAAACAGATCTCATAGTTGTGTCCAGCACTTTAATTGTAGCCAGTCAAGTGTCCAGCAGCTTTAATTTAGAGAATATGGTAGTCTAGTACAGCAGCTCATGCTTAATTTATTGACTTTCCATCACATCATTAACTGTCAGGACTTTCTTCCATTTCAATCCTCATAACATCAATGTATGCTTTACGCTCAAGCCGACCAGCAAATAAGCCTTTGAGATAATCTTCAACGCCTACTGTTCTGAACATTGCTGGGTTCTGTGGTGTGATCAAAGTGGGGGCAGGACCCAATTCTGTGTCAAGTCTGGGATTAAAAAATGTTGCGATGGATAGCCTTTCCTCTTCCGAGTTTACTACTGCTCGATGCTCAGGACTGTGGTAAGTCCCATTACTCAGTATCTGCAAAGCAAATAATTATTGCAAGAAAATTTTCATTACTACTGTTTTGGACTCTTGCAAGAAATTAAGGGAATGTTTGGTAAATAACTGTTAGCGGATTGGGTTAGTGGCTTTGAGCAATTGATAACATTAATTGATTATAAAAAGATGTTTGATAAATTAGCTGTTAGTAGATAGCTGATTATATACAAATTAACTTTCTCAAAAAATTAGTTGAAAAAACTGTTTTATGTATCTTTTTTAAATTTTAGTATTTTAAAGCAATAAGTTATTATAAAAAGTTAATTAATCAAATACGTTTTTTAACCAAGTTAAACCAGTAATCAAATAAATCAAAATTGAATGATATGATAAATACGCTAATTATTTTACCAAATAGGACCTAAGTTTCAATTACCTCTATCATATCCCCAATATTGACGATAAAGGCATCTGGGAGAGGTTTAACAGGAACCCACATGCCATCTTTCTTGACCTGGAGACCTTCGGTTTCATTGAGTTGGAGCACGATTGTAAGCCCGGTAGCATCTGAGTGAGGATAAAGTCCTATGACTTTGTCTGGTTGGGGACAACGAGGATAGTGATTCATCCTCATAGCCTGCAACCCTTCATTGAACAATCCTCTTACGTGTTCCTGCTCAATCCCCACAGCTTTTGCTAAATAATCAATGAGCGTCATGGCCAGATTTCTCAATTCCTCTGCGTACATTTCCACTGTTTCTCTGCGTGTAATTAACCAACAACTCATCGTTTCTATTAGAATCAAATATTTACCAGTATGCCAAAAGTTGTAGTTAGTAGAGAAGGGGGCAAATGGTTGAAATAGGAGGAAAACAAAAGGCAATGACAAAAATAAGAAGGTTTTTAAAAAATGTATAAATTTTAGGAAAAACTCATTTGGGATATGCGTTTCTGACAAAAAATGCAAGTCGCATATGTATTTCTCAAAAATTCAAAATGAACTTTTTTTTTCTCGCTAAAATACGAGAAACACATATGGGACCCACATGTGTTTCTCAATCATAGCTGTTTCTCGTATTATACAAGAAACGCATGCCGTTTCTTGTATTTTAGCGAAAAAAATTCATTTTGAATTTTTAAAAAACTCATTTGCGACTTGCGTTTCTGACAAGAAACACATGTCCCAAATGAGTCTTTCCCAATATTATACATTTTAAAAAGCTTCCTATTTTTGTCATGATCTATTGAAAATTGCACATTTCAGTCATTGATCCGTAGTGAAGGCCCCGTGAACTAGCCTTGATATATCACTTGTTTAAATTAAGCACTTAGCACTACGCCAATAGTTGTGGCTAGTCGCAAAGTTCTTGTGACTTGACTTTGATAGAACTATAAGCATTTACCATTACGCCAAAAACTATATATAGCTGGTAGTAAAGGCACAATTTTATTTCCTTATAAATAAGTCGCCATCACATTTTCGAAATGTTAGGTGCTAGACTTGGCCTTTTAAACTCTTTACCGACCTCCGCCCAATAATCTTTAGCCACTGGGTGTTAGACTTGACTTATACCGGCCTCTGCCCAACACTTTCAAATATGGTCTATCAGATTAGCCTAATAATTAAAAGATTCAAGAGATAGATGAAAGCTAAGTAAGAGGGGAACACCTGAACGGCAAAGGGAGATTTGGGAATAAATCTGGTTTCCTTAAATATGTTGGGAGAGTGATAATATAAAACAAATCACACCAGTCAAGTTTTTGCTCCTGAGAATGCACAAATGCAGATCCGAAGCCTTGAAGTTCTCCTGGCTCTTGCCAAAACTTCTTCTTCTCTTCCATCGGGAGATGGAAGAAATCTTTTGTTTCAGTTTTCACTTTTTCGACCAATGATGAACTCACTCCATGATTTATTAGCTGCAGCACAAATTCTTACACTAATTTCTTGTTGATATCATTGTTGCAAATATTTATGTTCCAACTTATATATTCTTTTATAAATATTTAAAAGTAATTATTTTTAGCACTAATATATTACATTAATATGTCCAAAATAAATAATTACAATCACATCAAGTGTTCAAATCTCATTAGGAACAAAGTTTTAATTATTTATTTTGGACATACAAATTTAATATGTTGGTGATAAAAATAATTAATTTTAAATATTTATAAAGTAATACGTAGTATATGAGTAGGATTATAAATATCATGATGTGACAATATAATTATGATGTCAGCGCCATGTAACATAAGTTAACGGTAATATTACCACGGTTAACTATTGTCCTTAATTGCACCACTTTTTAAAGTACAGGGACTAAATTGAACAAAATAAAAATATAAGGACTAAATTAAATAAAATACTATAATATAGGGATCTCATAGGTACTTTGACCTATAAATGTTATGGATGGCAATGGTAAATTGGACATTTCATAATTAAGGCCAATCAAGTAACCAAACACTTTACTCTTCTCAACTTTTCAAATTTCGACTTATTGTACCAATAAGCTAATGCAATAGGCCATTATAGTATAATGATTATACCGATTATACCAAACTTATTGGCCAGTCATATCAGCCAAAATTAGCTTATGAGCTATGTTACTAAACACAGACCTAACCTATTTTCAAAAGTATGATATTGAAACTAAAGGAGAGTAAATAATCAACAGTACACATACCTGAAAAAAACCCCATTCTTTGCTTGCAATATCCATCTTCTTAAGCTCCTCGCTTTCTCCTTTAAGCAATTTAGCCATGTTGATCACTGGAATTTCTTTCACAGCGAGTGACAGAGGCTCCAGATCTTCACGAACGTAGCGTGTTGGGATGATTATTTCTGGCGATTCTTTGGCCAGTTCTTGAACACAAGGTACCGGCAAAGAACTCCCAAATTTAGGTGATATATTTCTCTCCATGAAATGATCGAAGCCCAGCTTAAACTTAGCAGAATATACTTGGTTGCCTTTTCAAACAAAATTGTTCCAATATGGTAATATATATTATTGATGGGAGTTGTTATACCATGGACCAGGGTCCACTTTGCAAGGTAAATCTTGGTCCTAAACGACGTATAAATTGTGTATTTTTAGTATTAAAATTATAAACGTTCAAAATATAATTAAATAGTGTTTCTAAGTCAAAATATATAACAGATGTAGAAGGAAAGTTGTAAATACAATACAGTGTCATCAAATCCTAATATATTAATATTGTGTGACTGCATATTTGAAAGGAACTTGTGAATACAAAACAAGGTAATCAATTATATATATATATATATATATATATATATATATATATATATATATATATATATATGTTAACATTATGTGTTCGTAGTATACAAATTGTGAATTTTTAAAAGGTAAATTGTGAATATCTGGACTCGGATCTATCTTGCAAGGTGGACCCGAGTCCACATAATTATTTGCAATTGATGGGTTAAAAGGCTGAAAGCATACTTTATGCTGGATAGTTAAATAATTAGTTCACACTCATGAATAGTTAAATAATTAGTTCACACTCATGAATACTTAAATAATTAGTTCACACAATGGTCCATGCATCAAAACGATCGTTTCTTTTAGTGAAAGAAATGTCACCCGTTCTGCAAAAAGCAACCCTGTTTGTATAATATATTCAGTTTCATTTTATATACACTTCAGTTTCATTTCAACACAACTACAGTTTATTTCTATAGAACTACAATTTCATTCGACATTATACACTCAAATATGTGAAACTGTTATTTCGTTTCATTTTATATACACTATAGTTTCATTACAGCACAACTACATTATCATTTCGATATAACTACAGTTTCATTGCACAATATACACTCAAATATGTGAAATGTTATTCAGTTTCATTTTATATACGACACTACAATTTTATTTCAACACAACTACGATATCATTTTGATATAACTATAGTTTCGCTGGACAATATACACTCAAATATGTGAAATTGTTATTCAGTTTCATTTGCTATACACTATAGTTTTAATTTCAACACAACTACGGTTTCATTTCAATTCAATTGCAGTTTCATTTGATAATATAAAAATAATACGTGAGGCAGTGTCATTTTAAATATATTGTAGTTTCATTTGATAATTAACACATCAAGAATACGCACTCCGTTAAGCTGTAACGATTGTCGTTTCTTTACTTAAAGAAACGGCGCCGTTTTTGGACCATGGTCCACGATATAATTGCTGGCATGCGGGTGGGGTTTTTCATATGTATTGTACTTTTTTTTTGAATGCTACTGGTTCTATTACATTGTAGTATCTGTTCATATGGATTGTACTTATTACCCTCATTAGTAACTTTCAACATCTAATATTATATTTTTATTGTGCATAAAGATCTTTTTTTTTTTTTTTTAATTTCTATGAGAAATGAATAACTACTATTATTAATAAAAGGAATAAGGGTCAAATAAGCCATCCAACTGCACAACAAATTACAATTAGGCCACTAAACTCAAAAAAACAACAATTGGGTCCCTGAACAACACAAATTCTTGCAATTTAATTTAAAGTGACCTGTTTACCTTTTAATATGATGATGTGTCGGTTTCTTTATTTTAAAATAATTTTAAACTTTTTTGTTTAATAATTTTTAATTAAATAACTATTTCAAAAAATAAAAATAAAAATTGTCGGAGACCCCTTCGTCCCCGGCTAGCCATGGAGAATCTTTTGTCTCCATGGCTGTCCCCTTCGTCTCCGGCTCCGTCCAGCCACGGAGATGAAGGGTTCTCCATGGGATCCCTTCGTCTCCATGGCTGGACGAAGGGCTTCGTCTCCGTCCCCTTCGTCCAACCATCAAGACGAAGGGATCCCATGGAGAACCAATCGTCTCCATGGTTGGACGGAGCCGGAGACGAAGGGTCCCTTCGCCTCCATGGCTGGACGGAGCCGGAGACGAAGGGTCTCCGGTTTTTTTTTTTTTTTTTTTTTTTTTTTTTTTTTTTTTTTTTTTAATTTTAAAATATTTATTTAATTAAAAATTATTAAACAAAAAATTTTAAAATTATTTTAAAATAAAGAAAGCGACACATCATCATATTAAAAGGTAAACAAGTCACTTTAGATTAAATTGCAAGAATTTGTGTTGTTCAGGGACCCAATTGTTGTTTTTTTGAGTTTAGTGACCTAATTGTAGTTTGGTGTGTAGTTGAATGGCCTATTTGACCCTTATTCCTTAATAAAATGAGATATTTGTGTTGTTGTTCGTTAATTCTCCTCTGCTAGCAAATTAAATAAATAAATAAACATCTTGCACTCATAATCATCACTCTAACAAATTTAAAAAGTAAAAAATATCGATAATAATGTGGGAACCATTTTTTTGAATGCTACTGACTCTATTACAATGTAGTATCTGTTCATAATTACTTTCTCAACCTATTGAAGCACAAAAAGTCAATGTCGCCTCCACTGAAGCTCAAGCCGTTAGACCATAAAAGTCTTGGCATAATGTAGAAGCCATAATTAAAGTGTTTGATGTATTACTTATAGTAAAATGTAAAAGGACAACATGGAAAAAGAGATTAGCACAATTCAAAACTTCCCTAAATTGGTATTTATAGAGTCACCGAATTAATATTTAGAAATTGTTATATAGTTAAATGTGGTAAATATAATAGGTGAGTAATTTTATAATAGTTGTAGTAGCTTGATGGATTAGACCTTGTACTCTTATTATTAAGTTGAAGGTCGTGGGATTGGATCTCAATTGCAACACTTCGTATGAAGTTATTGAAAAACACACACATACACACACATATATATATATGATAAGTCATGAAATAGCTCATAATTGTGCGAAGATCGCATCTAAAGGTTCCCCCAGAGAGTGTCACGCTAAAGCTCACGCCTTGACCATCACGCGTCATGCTGAGGATCACGCTTCTAAAGGTTCCCCCAGAGGGTGTCACGCTAAAGCTCACGCCTTGACCATCACGCGTCATGCTGAGGATCACGCAGTGCGTGACCACCAGCGTGACGCCTTGAGACTAGAAGGCTGTTTGGAGGGTCACGATCACCTTCACGCCATGGCCATCTGAGAGGTACTGGGCCTGGTCACGGTGGAGTTCACGTCGTGGACCAAGCAATCTGAATGCAGTTACTTGGCGCAGATTCCTGAAGTATAAATGGTTGAAAGCATTATTTTCGTTCTATCTTTCAATTTCCAAGTCTCTCCCTACATTTTCTTTCACCACAAACCATCTTAGAGAGGAATCCATTGTAATCCATCAACATTTGGAAGATTTAGAGGAAGATTATCATTTGTAATCACAATTTCTACTTCAATTTCAGATTTACATACTACAAGTTCTATCAAGTTAAGTTCTCCCTTTCTTACTTTTACATTTCACATAATTTGTAGCTTGAATTACTAGATGCCAATATGAATTGAATTGCCAAACTTAGGGATTGCAATATCTTTAGAATGAATTTGATTGTGAAATTGGTGAATTGTTTTGACTCTTGTTCGGTTAGGGCCCAACTTTCCAAGCGGATTTTGGATTTGGTGTTTCTCCTATGAGAATAGGGATTCACCATAGCCAAACCTATCACATTTCTAACTCACCCTTGAGAAAGGGGAGTTGGAAGGGAAAGAGCACACAAGGTGTTTGATTGAATGCATCACCTAGTCTAGTTGCCATGAGAATAGGATTAGAACTTAGGTAATAGCTCAATGACCATGACAATGGCGTTGGCACTTACTTAACTCCCTCACTTTCATTATCAAGTATTGCTTTGCTTAGAATCCTAGAACACTTAAAGCATCTATGCAAAGTTATTTGATCTAAATTCTCTCTTTTACCATTGTCTATTACCTAATCTATTATTTTATCTTATATTTTTTTCTCAATGCAAATAGTCATTTCCTTTTGGTTAGCTTTCAAACACTCAATGATCTCGTGTTTAACCCCTCTCTACACAATTTTCCTATAGTCAATCTTAGAGGACGGCAATCACTAAACACTCCCACTAAAAATCAATTATCAATATATATTGTGTGTGTGTCCACAATCAAGTGAGAACCATGCCCCAGGTGAAAACCTGTGGACAAATCCATACCATTGATCTAGTAGATCTAGCCGTTAAAAATAAACAAAATTTTGTAATATTTATTAAAATGACCCTGCTCATTTTAAAATTTTTTACGTAATATTTATAAAAATGACCTGCTCATTTTTTACTTGATTTCTCATCCATAAGATCTTGTAGATCAATGGTTTGAATTTGTTCACGTACAAGTTCTCACCTGAGACTACGATTTGTTCTCACGTTTATGACGTTCTCACCTAAGCAAGTGTTCTCATTGGAACTATATATATATATATATATATATATATATATATATATATATATAGAGGATAGTGAGAAACATATTTCCCACTACCAATATAATAATGATGATGATGATGAATTATTTTCCTCTTCCTTCACCTCTTTATTCTTTCCCATCATATCGAAAGAAGAAACAATAATTAGTGTTCTCATTCTTAATCAACTCTAGATATTTTAGTGTACAGTGGATTTTGGATTTTTGTGGTTAAGATACATGTTCACTAAAATACATTTTTTTTCCGAATCAATTTCGAATAATGTGTTGCAACATCTCGTGGAAGATGTCCAATTCAATCGGCATCGAATTCTACGTAATCCAGGTTCGCATTTGGTCACTTTACAATTTTATTTTATTTTTTACAATCTTGATTTAGTATAACTATTATCCTTTTTTTTTTTTATTATTAATTGTTAATGCTTTGTGCAGATTTGATTTTAACAGACGAAAAGAAAAACATAGCTTTGATTGAATTGGAAAGATTGTTAGAATCATATAGTAAGTCTTTGAAAGGCTTTCCTAAAATGCCAATACCCAATTTGTCCTCTACAAGATTAATTTGCATTAGAGAGGGAGGTGTATGAAACGATAATTGATGATGCTTTAAATGATCGAGGTGGTTTG